TTTCCAAAGAAGGAAGATCCTACTCTGGCTAGAAAAGAGCCCTGTAGATCTCGGCAGTCTCACTGTGGCTGACACATCTCAGACAGAGAGTTCTCCATCAGGCCCCCAACACACACTGGCCAGTAAGCAGCAGTGGGTCTCTACCTAGGCAGGATTGGTCCTACAGTAGATAAAACCCAGTCCAGTAGGAAAGTTAGAGGCAGGGACAGGCATCTCCCTGTTGGAGAAATCATTTTCTCATCTACTTCAGGGAAAGCTCGTTTTCCACCAGTCTTCTCCTAATGATCAGTCTTATGTTTGAATTCTTTTCTGTTGTTTTATTTCCAAAAACCTTCCCCTTGGCTGTAGTGTTGCTTCTTATTGCTTTTGTTCTCAGAGAGATCTGTTTTATGTAAAGAGGATAAAGGAGTCAACTAATTAGTTTTTTAAAGTGATAATTGTAGAACCCATTTCTATTTACTTAGAATCTGTATATAATGATCAGAGCCTTCCATCCGGGCTGTCTCAATGCACTGAAATGTAAATATAAATTGCATTTGTAGTTGAGCATTTCCTGCATAGATCTTGTAGAATTAATGAATCTAGGCATTCATTATAGACTGACTGATCATAACTTCTCTTGACGCAATGTCAGAAGACAGTAAGTTTTATAAACAACTGATTCCTCAAACAAAACCAAAAGGCTAAAACAGCCCCAGGAGACACTCTTAATATCTTTGACCTGGCATTGACCATAGTTTTCAGCTTTCCAGATGGTCTTAATAAGTAGAGACTATCAGAGATTCAAAAATCCTCATCCTTTTAATTATCTTTTAATTAATTTTCTGTGCCCTTTAATGAAGATTCCAGTTTTAATAACCATGCAGAGTTCATGACTCTTGCAAGACCTTGGTATCATGGAGCTAAAATTTTACGTAATAATTGATTACTTAAAAGGCAAATAGTGTGGTAGACAGGCTATAAGCTGATGGGTCTGATTTAGCATGGTCTTTGAAAGGTGTTTGTTCTGCTGCCCTGGACTGAGATCATTTAGGGCAGAGTTGTTTAGAGTTTCACCAAACCTAGTAGTAAATGCTGAAGCGCCTTAATCAAGTGGTATGGATTTTACTGAAAGAGAGAAACTGTAAAGTTGGTTTTATGTCAGAAGTATGGCTGTCTCCAATCTACCTCAACTCTTTCCAAGGTAGTCTGAGAAAGGGGATTTTATTATTATTATTATTATTATTATTATTATTATTATTATTATTATTTAAGGAGATGGAACTGTTAAATCTCTTGACTTGGTAATTGTATAAAATCATCATAACCCACAAATATGTACAATCAAAATAGTAATTAACTTTTAAGAGTAAAGGAAAAACAACATAGTGATAATGAGTCAAGATTATCAAGAATTTAGAAAAATCTAAATTCTTTAATGGTAAATATTTTCCACTTGCTTGAAATATAGTAATTCTCATTGAAGATGGCCCTGAAGTCCTTCACAGAATGTCACTTACCTGATACCAGAATTCATTGTTCTGTGATGATCTGCTCTACCATAGTGAATTACTTTTAAACTTCAAAGTAAATATAGTTTCCAATGTACCCCCAATTAGGTGTATCACAGAAAGAAACATGTTAGTCAAAAAATAAAAACAGAAAGAAAGAAAAAGCAAAGGACAAGACATTTCCAAACTTCATCAGGAAAACCTGCATATTCTGTCTTACGGAACACAGAAACTTAGAGCTACTGATTGTGTTGACAACCACATCATTTAGTTTAATGTGAAAATTGAACGGGAAACTGTATCGCTTGCTCAGGATTTCAAATAATGTGTCTTTTCTCACTTAAGTAAACCCAATAGTACTTGGACTTTTAAATTTTTTCTGTTACTTAAAACTTTAAAAAGACGTTAACTGCAAATCAACATTTTATTTGTTTTAATATTTCATCTGAAAGTATTACCACTCTGGATTAATTTGCATAGGTTTGGAGTTTGTCTCAATTAGTCTGGTTTGCTGAGGTTGGTCTACGCTCATAAATATGTTTGTGCTGAAGATGGAGCTTAGCAGTGCTTTTTACTGTTTCCGGTAAATCACTCCCCAATGAAATACTGAGAGATAGTTTCACACTTTATACATCTAACTGATGAGATTTCAACTAGCAACCTAGAGATAATATTTCAAGCTGTAATATTTCACACCACTATCAATAGAGGATTTTCTTTGTATTAGTCTCAATTTTTGTTCGCTCAATTCAATAATGTGTATGTGCAGTGCAGTTTCTGTGGTCCTTGGATTACTGTAAAGGCTAAAATGAAGGTGAATAGTGTGGCGCCTATTGGTATTGATTGCCTGTCAAGGCTTACTCAAAGCTAAAATCCAGTATAAGGTGGTGAGATTTAGAACTCTGAAAAGTAGACATTGCATTCCTGTTTGGTCAGCCCATTCTACACCAAATAAATAACCTGGAGAGTAGCCACTATATCTCCAAGACAGTACAACACCTATGAAATCAGAAAGCAATACATTGTTTGATTTTACTGTTACTAAATGTCTGAAATAGTTTTTTTATTTTATTTTACATATCGATCCCAGTTCCCTCTCCTTCCCTCCCTCCTACCCTCTTTCCCAACCTCCCATGCCTCCCCTGACCACCCTCCTATCCAACTCCCCCACACTCCACAGGGAGGGTAATGCCTTCCATGAGGGGGTCATCTAAATCTGTCAAGTCATTTGGAGTAGAGACTAGGCCTTCTCTCCTTTCTCTAGGTTAACGGAGTATCTGAGTCAGTCCCATGCTGGATTCCCAGCTATCAGTCTGGGGGCCCATTAGCTCCTCCTTGTTCAGGTCAGCTGTCTCTATGTGTTTCTGTAGCCTGGTCTTGTCCTCCTTCTCTGCATCTGGATTACAGTTTGGCTCAGTGAGTAGTGTTGGTGTGTGCTTCTGTTTCTATCAGCTATTAGATGAGGACTCTATGATGGTGATTAAGTTAGTCGTCCATCTCATTATCAGGGGAGGGCATTTATCGGAGCCTTTCCACTGTTGCTCAAATTGTTAGTTGGGGTCAGTCTTGTAGGTCTCTGGACATTTCTCTAGAGTCAATTTTCTCTTCAAACCTATAATGGCTCCCTCTTTTATGCTCTCTCTCTCTCTCTCTCTCTCTCTCTTCTCTCTCTTCTCTCTCTTACTTCTTCTTTCTTCTTCTCTAGTCTATTCCTCCCCTGACTCAATCTTCCTAGTCCCACATGTTCTCCTCTCCTCCCCTTCTCTTTCTCCTAGTTCTCTCTCCACTCACTGACCCCCCACTCCCAATATGCTCTTAGAATCCTTGTATCCTAGTTTCTCTGGCGGTGAGAATTATATAGGCTGGTGATCCATAAATGAGTGATTACATATCAAGTTCCTCTTTTTGTGACTGGGTTACTTCATTCAGGATAGTTTCTTCAAATTCCATTCATTTGCCTGCATGGAATAGTATTTTTAAAGTCTCAACCCTTTACACTCTATTTGAAAGCCTCGGGAACTATTTTTTAGTATGCAAGCTATGTTTTCATTACTATTTAACACATTAGAAAATAAATATGAGAAAGTTAATACCATTAGTTTAAAATAATTTTAAGAATCAATTAACTGACTTATTTGCAAACCAATGGTGTCTTTTTAAAGGAAAACTAACTTACTTCATTGGCCAATACAAAATAGTAAGAAGATGACTTTCTTACATTTTTGCAAATATCTAACTAGATAGAACACAACTGAACTCTCATAACTTGCTTTTGAAGTTTGTTGTGATCTGTTATTTTGGTTGAAGCAAAAAACGAAATGCAAATGGTGGGTGGCTATGTAGCCAGACTTATGGGTTCCACAGGGACCCAGCAACTGCAATTTGAAAAAGTGTTTCTTCAAACACAAAACCCTATTCCAACCACTTACTGAAGACCATGAGCACTGTACAGTCCCAATTTAATTATTCAAAAATAATAATGAGAATCTTTTGGCCTGAAGAATGTGAAAGCTCCTCAGGGAAGCACTAATTTTTTTCAGAATGATTTCTCTAGTTCAATGCCTGTTTGTGTAAGAAAAGGTATTTTGACCCATAATACTGTTGTATGGGATTATGCCCTGCCCCTTAGATATTCTAGATTTCATAAAACACTGCATTATGTCTTATAGAAGTCTGAAAACTTGGAGAGTAGCTGCCAATTGGAAGTTTATTCTTCTGTCAGTTCCTAGGCTAGGTAAACAGACAGGTTCTTTACTCCTTCCCTGATACACAAGCACATATATATGGTGGTAGTGTTTAGATGAATTCTAATTATATACTTCTGCAATTCTTTTTCTTCAATGATAAATTTTCCCTCCTTATTTTATAGCAAATATTCTATATTATTTTCTCCACTATAGTAAAATATCCCCTCAGATTTTTATCTCAGACTTTTTATTTTTCAGATGAAAAGACACAAAGAGATAAGTAATGACCCAACACCATGCATAAAATTATAGAAAAATTTAAAACCACCTCTTTATGGACACTTAACACTGTGGTTAGAAAATATAGTAATGGCAGGGGAGATGGCTCAGCCATTAAAGGCTAGGCTCACATCCAAAAATATAAGAAAGTACAGTAAACTACATCAGTGGAAATCTAGAAAAAATGTACCTCGGAGGCTTTTCAAAGTCATGGTTTTACTTTCAAAGTACCACACTTGACCTAGGCATTCTTAATTCCAACAGCACAGTGGAATAGAGAGATGGAGACCTTGCCAAGAAAGTCATTCATAAGTTCTGGATCCCACACCCAAATCAAACCAAGATAGCAGTGGGTTTTGTTCTGTGCAAAGGAACCTATTCAGAGCAGTTTTGTCCAAATATGTCATTCCTGATCTATAACTGGAATTACTAAATGGATAAAAGCCTTACCCTGGTATTGAAGGTCAAATATATATTAACAGATTTTAGTTCTGTAAGTCACCATAAAAATAAGTTGGATAATCTTCCATTGCCTTCTTTCCAGGGAGGAAGAAACGAGTTTCCATTGAGCTGTGGATGGTGTTCATCTCAGGTAATAACTTTTAAACTATCCAGGCCAGCTTAGTCTGTCCTGCTTTCAAGTACTTGGACAATGCCAGGCATCTTGGTGTGTCTTGCCAAAATCATTTCTCAAACCTTTGCCTATCTTTTGTGCCCATAGATAATACATTGTGGGATAATAGCACCACTGTTACCTACAACCTGATCGTCTCCCTCTCTGAAGTAGCTTTGTTTTTGCCAAAAATCTACTCATGTATTTCAATTGCTGGATTGGCTTCCACTGATCCCAGATTGAGACAGCAATACCCATGACTGATTTAAAGATACCTGGACAAACATGCGCTGTTTCAAATTACCTTCTTTTTTGTAGCGGTACAATGCAACCAATTCCCATTTGGAACTGTATCATTAAAGAATAACTATGGCTAAATTTATATAGGTGACTGGTGAGGACACTGTGTGTATGTTATTGCTTAATTAAGAGTTAAAATATCTTTATAAGATATATATTATTATCACTGATTTATAGTTGACAGAACAAAAGCTCAAAGACTTCACTAACTTGTTGAATTTAACACAAATTAAATATAGTACAAATAGTCTCCTATTTAGTCTGTCTGAATTTACTATACCCAGGGCACTCTTCCCAGCGGAATAGAGTTAGAAGAGCCTCTGGCATCCTTAAGTTCATTGTAGTTTACAGGTGAGTACAATTTGGCATTTTTCCCTTAATGTCTCTTATTTAAGCACCTTTTCACTTCTCAGTTGTGTGTTCATTCATCCTGGCCAAGGGTATAACAGATGCATGTTCTTTACAGGCTGCTTGATCGAGTGCAGGGGTAAAACTCTGTCATGAGCAACCTCTAACCCTTTTGTCCTTGCCAGGTAATAGGCAATTAAATCACTGTGATTTGCTCCAGGCCAGAAGAAGTTCATTGCCCAGGACAAGGTCCTTTTACTTATTGTTTTTTAGCTTAAAGATACCGTTAACACTACAATGCCCTATAACCAGAACAAAGGAAGATTTTCAAGTGATAGATATAAGGTTTGTCCTTAGAGAGTGAGATATATGTTATATCCATCAGCTTTTATTTACACTTTCAGATCTCATTTTCTAGTTTGACATAATCTTCAATGTTTTCTAATTTAAATCTCTAATGCTTAGGGAACCAACCCTGAGATAAATACTCCCTTGACCAGTCAGCTGGTTAATAACATAGGATAATCACTTCCTGTCAAGAGCTTCAGTTAAATAATATTGTTTGACATATTAGGTAACGGGGAATACTTACAGAAATTATAAAGAAAATAGACCTTAGAGTGGAACATATTTTCAACCTATCATACCCTCTGCTCATTGCAGATTTATGTCAAAGTATGAAGAAAACTCATTCACCCCATTCTGGCATCTCCCAAATCTCAACCTGCCTCAACATCAACTTAGAGCCCATGTAGGCCTCACCTGAAGCCCATCTATCATTGTCTCCACAGTTTAAGATAATTTAGATTTATCATCTCAACCACCCATACCAGGCATGTGTGAGATGCTAAGTAGACTCCACTCCATCCTGTGGCAAGATTCCTTTCTTGTCACTTTTCATGACATATATATCTGAACCTTCAGGGAAATCAGAGAGCCTCAAAAGTCTGTCTGGCTTTTAAAATTTTTAACTTGGGTTCAGGTTTGCTTTTTCATTAATTTTAATACAAATTATTGAAAGCTAAGCATCTCTAGAAAATCAGCCTAAATGGTTCAGTATGTTGGTGTCTGGAAGAAAAGTCACAGCTTATGACTCAATCATACTACCTTCTGGCTTTGACAATTCCATATACACCATTCATGAACAGTTTTGAAATTCTTGGGTCTTTATAACATTTTCTGAGTAATGACAGACAAAATATTCTTGATACACTACTTTTTTCTGGGTCAAAGTTACCTGAAAGAATATTTTAAGACAACTACATTGAGCAATAAAATGACAGTGGAGTGCATAAATTTAAATGAAAATTCAAGATATCATTGTGACATTTCAAACAATTAGAGGGAAAAGAGATAATTATAAAGCTTTCTTTCTGTACACAACTACATTTTCTCACTCAGGCAAAATATTCTCATCTGCTTAGTGGCTGATGAATTGTTTAGAGGTTGGTTGAAAGGTCGTTCCTTATTCCAGAGTCCTTAAAAACACAGCAGGGGGGGTCTATCTAGATGATCCAGTAAGTAAGGTACTTGCTGTAAGCCTGAGGTCCTGGGTTCAATTCCTGGATTCCTTTTGGTGAAAGAAGAGAATTGGCTCCCTCAGGTGATTATACTCTGACTCCCAATATGTACCATGGCATACATATGTACATACATACATTCAGACAGACAGACAGAGACACACACACATAAAAAAACAAATCATCTGGCTTGAATATGTATTTGGCTTGAATATGTATCATTTCCTTTTGAGCACCTTTTCTTTTATAATGCCATTTTAATGTCTGCACACTATTTTCTTCTGTTGTACATCACTGGTGCCTTTTCTACTTCTGTGATAAAACTCCATAGATACCATGGCTGGAGTACCAAGCTACACACTCACATCTCAAATCCCAAGCATGAAACATAGTAGGAACAGGCAATGGCACGTGGCTGTGAAATTTCAAGGCCTGCTCCACCGATAAATTTTCTCCAGCAAAGTCACACCTCCTGAGTCTCCCCAAATAGCTACCAGCTTGGAACCAGGGATTCAAATACCAGAGCATATGGAGGGAGTCTCATTCTTATCATCATACTACTGAACACCAAAATGATTTCCAGTGTTTGTGTAATTGGAGTTTGCATTACAGACCCTTATACTGAAATAGAGTCAGACATTTTAACATTTATTCTATAAATTATTCTAATGATACTTAAAACATTATCTTTTGTTTAGTCTCTACCCAATACCAAGAGGCTAGCTCTGAAGTTTTATATATATATATATATATATATATATATATATATAATTTTAGATTAATAGATGAACACAAAATGCCATTTTAAAATTCCTGGTTTATGCGTTGCTTCCATCTTAGCCCTTATTATAACTTTTACATTTATAAGCATTGATGGGGCTGCTTATAGATGACTTATTTTTATAGCTGATTATTGGGTGCATCCCAATGTGTCAGAATGATCTGAGGAAGAATATTTTACCCAAGTGGTTTGTGGAGCAAGAGAAACTAGGGAGAAATCCCAGACCATTAGATAGGATGACAGCCTACCCACACCTAGGAGCATCTCAACATCATGATGGGACCAGCCAATTGAATGGACAGTTAGGACCAGGTTCTAGAAAGATTGTGATGGAAGACAGGCATTGTTTGATTCTAATTCACTCTCTGATACAGCTAATCAATATACAGAAAGAATCTCGTGTTTTCCCACTTCCCTCCTCCATTGTGCAAGGGCAGGTGCAGATCCACTAAGAGATATCCCAGAAAGAGTCAAAGGAACAGGAAAGAAGCCAATATCTCTGCTCCTACACTAAGTGCTCCTTGGTATGGGAGGAAGGGCACAGTCTAGAAGTATATCCAGAATATGGGGTTGGACATACTGCTGAGAAAATCAATTCTTCCCAGTCCTGCTACATAAGGTACCTATTTAAATCTTCAATAGATGAAATCTTGCTTTATTCCTTAACAAATTGTCCTGTCAAATTTTGTCTTTTGCCACATGTAATGGTGCATGCCTATACTCTCAGCACTGGGGAGGGTGAGGCAATTTTGATCCTAGCCTAAGCTAGTGATGGTAATTCAACCTCAAAGTAAATAAATAAATAAATAGCAAGTATTTTCTAATTAAGTTGCTTTTCTTCATCACTACATTCTTCCAGATTTTCTTCTCTATTGACTGCTATGATATCATCTCTGCTTCCCTTCTGTGCATGTGGACACAGAAGTAAACAATGTGCAGAGGCAGCATATCACAAATCCCAAGACACAGTGACAAAAATAGCTTAGGGACATTTTGTTGACCCACAAAGCTGCAATGTGACACTGTGCTGGCATTCTTCCCCATCATTACACTCATTTCTGCTTCATAAGTAGAATCTGATTTGTGTAATGCAGGGATGTGGTGTGTGTGCTTGCGCGCGCGCGTGTGTGTGTGTGTGTGTGTGTGTGTGTGTGTGTGTGTGCTAGATAAAGTATCGTGGTCCCCTTGCTGACCTGCAGTGCCTGGAAGGGTACTCCACAGGCATTGTTCCAAAAGGAACAAAGGAGCAATTGTCTCTTTATACAAGCTCAAAATAGAAGTGCCCTTTTCAATACTGCTTGACATTGTAAAACTCCTATCTTTTTTTCTGACTGACTGTAACCACTGGGTCACTCATCCACAGCATAGCTCTCTAGGTTCCTCTCAGTCCTTTGCTCACACATAGCCAGCTACCTTTTTAAAGGTTGAATCACATTTCATTTTCTCATTTGTTTTAAACTAAATTTAGTATTGTGTGTCTCAATTCTTAATGGTGTCTGTAACAACTCCCAAATTAGAAAGCCCTTCAAACTTCTCCAGCAATATGTTGTTCCTTTACTTTTGCAAATCTTCTCACAGTGTTAACATAATAACTAATATTTGTACAGTGCCTTACAGTTTACAAAATACTTTCAAACCTATCATCTCTAAAAAGGAGACACTAGGAACTCTCTTCCAATGCTAATACAGCCTTGAAAATACCAACTGGCTTAGGATGAGCATATATGTAAGTGGTCCAGTGCTTTCCTGGCACCTCCAAAGGCCCTGGGTTCAATTCTTAGTATCACTTTCTTCCACAAAAAATATTATGTAGATTATGTTTGTCAAAGATATTACTGATGTAGACTTTAGATTATAGCTGGTCACCTATCTCTAGACACCTCAAAGATCATCATGCAATACATCATCCTCTCTTGTCTCTCCTGTCTGGTGATGGTAAACATAAAAGTTATTGTTAAACAAGACATAAAGCAAACTTCCTATTTAAAAATATGTTTCAAAAGCATAATGTATGTTTTTGTCAACATGAA